AAAAAAAAAAAAAAAAAAAAAAAAAAAAAAAATACCGGCAACAAACACCACCAACAAACAACACACACAACAACAACCACCACCATAGAAATGCAGAAAGCTGTTGAAAGGTGGTTATTTCCACCCCCACCTGAGATGGTCGGGGATGCCGCGACGGACGAGCCGCTTCAGCGGCCGCCGGTCCTCGAAGGAGGGGTTGTTAGCCAGGTACGCTTCCCACCTGCAGCAGCAGCAGCAGCAGCAGCAGCAGCAGTAGCAGCAGCAGCAGTAGCAGCGGTAGCAGTAGCAGTAACAGCAGTAGCGGCAGCAGCAGCAGCAGCAGCAGCAGCAGCAGTAGCGAAAGAGAAAAAAACAGAAATAAAACAGCGGCAATCAGGTAATACAGACACAGAAACATACACAGAAACATACACAGAAACAAACGCAGAAACAGAAACAGAGACAGAGATAGAGGCAGAGGCAGAGGAGACGGAGATAGAGACAAAGATAGAGAAGAAGTAGAGGCAGCGGAGGGCAACAACAGGGAATGCACAGCAGAACAAAGAAACTGTTTGGGGTGTACGTACAGCTTCGTCTGTCGCTTCCGCTGCGATGCTGTCTTCTCTTCATATGCTGCTACTCGCGCCCGCACCTCCGCCCCCAGAGTAAACCCATAGTAACTTCCAACTGCAGCAACAGCAGCGCCAATGCACACAAACAGCACACACCTCTTGCTGCTGCTATTGCTGCTGCTGTTGCTGCTGCTGTTGCTGCTGCTCCTGCGTGGCACCTGGCGGTGACGTGTTCTGCATATTTGGTTCTACTCGTGCAGATCTGCTGCGGCGCTGCACATGTGTGCATGCATGCATGCATGCATGCATGCATGCACGTCTTTGCTGCAGCTGCTGCAGCAGAATGCAAACCTCACCGCTTGCGGGGATGGGAACAGGAGTAGCAGCAGCAGCAGCAGAAGCAGAGCCGATGGGTTCGGATGCAGCAGCAACAGAGACAGCGTCACTGGTAGGAGGAAGCGGGTCCGGCAGCATAGGGCAGGTGTCTCCGCCGTTTTGCTGCAGCATGTCTGTCTCCTGCGAGCTGCTGCAGCGCAGCAGCAGCAGCGGAGAACGTGGCTGGTGCTGCAGCTGCAGCGTCTGCAGCCGCTGCAGCGGGTCGTCGAAATCTGTGGGGAGTTGGTTTGCCTCTCCTGTGTCTCCGTCACGCATCTCTCCCTCCCATAGGCTGCTGTTGCTGCTACCGCAACTGTCTTTGCTGTTGCTGCTGCAGCTGCTGCTGCTGCTGCTGCGACGGCTGCTCCGGCTGCTGCGGCAACGGCTGCTCCGGCTGCTGCGGCAGCGGCCGCCAAACGCCTCCTGGGGGGGCGGCAGCCCCGCTGTGCCTGCAGTTTCTGGGTTCAAGGTTCCTGCTACGTTGCTGGTTCCGTTCCTTCTACTGTTGCTGTTGCTGCTGCTGCTGTTGCTGCTGCTACTGTTTCTGCTGCAGCTGCTGCTGCAGTTGCGATCGGCTGTCAGAACGGGGCTCGGTCTGCATGCACACATACGGGTGCTCCATAGGCTCCGGGTAGTTACACCTGAGAAGCAAAACTGTCTCTCTGATGCCCATGGGGGCGCGTGTTTGTTGCTGCTGTCGCTGCATGTATTGCTGCGGTTGCTGGCTGCGTTACTGCAGCTGCTGCATGCGTTGCTGCGGCTGCTGCATGCACCGCTGCTGTTGCCTGTCTGCTGTCTGTACACCCCGCACTCTGCAGCATGTTGGGTGTAGCAAAGCCCCAGACGGGTCTCTTCTCCTCGCGCTATCCTCCCTCTAAAGGTGCAGCTGCTGTGCCGCACTGCAGCTACGTGGTTGGGAGCAGCTCCGCCGCTGCTGCAACGCCGCAGGCTGAAGGCAGCAGCCCGCTCAGCAGCAGTAAGCGACAGGCTGCTGCTGCTGCTGCTGCTGTTCTTGCTATCGAGATGACTGCTGCTGGCTCTATCACTTCTGCTGCTGCCAGCCTCCTCGGGAGGGTTCAGAGCCGCCAGCAGAGACAAAGACAAAGAACGGGAGACAACGAGGGGAAGGGGGCGAATCTCGGCGACTGTAGGGGTCCTTGTATGCGGCCAGTCCTCATCATGAGCGCCTCTCCCTTCCAGTACCTGCTGCTGCTGCTGATGATGATGCTGCTGCTGCTGCTGCCTCTCGTAAGGGAAGCAGGGAGCATCAGCAAGAACCGCCAGGGGAAGGGTGGAAGGAGGAGCAGTGGGGCTCGTGTACGTACACCCCGAATGCATGCCGCTGGGCCCGCAAGAGGTGATACTATTTGTAGGCATCGTGGTGCACTTGCAGTCTGTCCTGAGATCGTTTGCGTTCGCTGCAGTGTCTGGACAGCTCACCACAGAAGCAGCAGAACTGCTCGCGGGGCTGTTCAGAGACCCTGCTGGCGCTCCGGCTCCGCCACGAGCCGCGTCATCCATAATACGCAAAAGATTGAGGAGGCGGCGGTGGGGCAGCGCGAAAGAGACTGCAGCAGGAGCCTCGCGTTGCTGCTCCAGTCCCTGGGAGGGAGAGGCCCTGCCTCCTGGGCCCTCCTCTTAAGGGGGGGCGCAGCCCCGCGCAGCAGCTCTGACGCTTCTCAGCAGCAAGAGATACAGAGGGATACTGCTCTTCTTGCCTTTCTGATTCACACGAAATACTCAGGAGGCCACGCGAAGGTCGCAGGCCACCCACCCTGGCGGCGCAGCACGGCAGTCGAGGCGCAGGGAGCGAGAGGATGGGAGGGAGGGGGGGCTCTAGAAGCTGCAGTCTACTGTTGATGTTGCAAGAAGCAGTTGTCTACAAGTGGAGCTTCAGGATATGCTGCGGAAGGCGCGGCAAAGAGCAGCCACAGCACCCACGGCCGACGGCTGCGGTATATCTACACCGCTGGGCGGTACACCGCTGGCGTTTGATGTAATGATGAGGTCTACTGCTGTTTTGAATGAATTGTGGCATAAGTATGCATGCAATAAATGTTTAAAAGAATACAAGTCTTTCTAATACAACGAACTTCATACATACACCCTCCAGCCCCGGAGGCTTCTCAGCGGACGGCGACCGGCTGCCCGTGGCGCTTGCTGGGCTGTTGAAGCTGCGATAAGCTGGCTAGTGCCTCTCTGCAGGCAACGTTGTTAGTTTCAGGGGNGGGGTTCAGGTTTCCATTATAATAGTCATGTAAGCGAAAGAAGATAGTCGCATCAGTTGTTTGCCGGGCCCTCACGAAGGAACAGCGTATATTCATCACGCAACCTGCGGTGATGCATGTGTATGTAGCATGGTCTGTCTGAAGTTAGTGTTATCTGTATTCCTGCCTGCGAGCTACTGGGCCAATAAAGTGTCTAACAATTGTCTACAGTGTTAGTTCATACAACATAGGGGGCTTATGAAGCGACTACAGCGCAGGCTATGTGGCATGTGTACATGTATCTCTACTTGCCCGTATGCTGGTTACGTAGGTCCAAGAAAATGTTCAACAACTGCTTTCAGGATTAGCGCATGCAGTAAAGGGGGCTTGGCTGTCCTTGCACGTGGAGTTTACCTGCAGGCCTAGCTGCGTGCACGTAGGACTGCGCTGGAGCACTAGTTGCAGCAAGCTGCGCTACAGCTTTTGAGAGGCCTCTTCCTCCGCTCAAGCCCCATGCCGTTGGGCAGCAGTGCCCTGCATGCGTAGAGGGTGGAGAGGCTGTCGTCTGTTGTGGGAAGACTTGCATCTTTAGTATTTTTTAATCTAGTGCAGTTCACATGACTGTCCACGAATACGATCAAGAATACTCGATACAGTGGCAACCATCATATAGGAGTGGGAGCCCTCTTTACATTTGGAAATGCCGCAGGGTTCACTGGTACAGCTGCCAGAAACGAAACCCAAACCCCACTGTTACGATCCTCCATGAACATACCGGACGCCGGAGATGAGGTGCAGTAGAGTGAAAAAATTCAAGCAGAGAGTTTCGAAGATAAAGGTGACCTCCCATTCAGTCCCCAGCTTGCCTGAGGTCCACAGACCAAGGGCCTGGTGTAGTAGTGCATGTGTGAAGTTGTTCTGTGTAATCCTACTCGCGTGCAGGGTGGCGACAGAGAGCCAAGGAAATGATCAACAACTGTTTACAATGCGAGTGCACGCAGCAGTAGGGGCCCGGTTGTGCATGAGTATTCGGTTCGCTTGCAGCTCGAGTTGCAGCAGGGTGCGCTGCAAGTCGTGTGAGGCCGCCTCTTCTCTCCCGGCACCACGCCAGTGATCCGCCGGTCCCAGGTCGGCTTGTGCCGGTAGAAGATATCAGCTGCCTTTAGATAATCATAAGTATTTTGCATCTACCGTAGCTCACCAGTGACTTCAGATAAGGCGGATGGCTCTCGTTACACCCGGGGTCGGGAAAACCGACGCGTCGGCCTTATACGAGGTGTAACGCACCTTGCTGCAACTCGTGCTGCACGGTAACTTTACATGCAAGCAGCGCCGCGTTCCGGTTGGTGCATGCACTAGCACTAGGGACATCTGGTGAACGCTTGATTGGCCTTCCATTTGTAGCCTGCACGCAATCAGAGATACATGTACCAACTTCACACAAACCACGATACAAGGAGCAGAAGTGGTGTGCTATGGCGTAATAAGGTGTCGAAATCACCTATATGGCAGGGATTTCAACATTCAAAACGATTATCAACCCCTGAAACACCAAACGAAGAGTTTTCTGGACGATGATAATGAAAGCAATGCACATTAGTTCTGCTTGTTCAGGCCCTGTATATCAGCGTCGTCACTGATGTGCACTTTTGTAAACACGCAATATTCTGCGGAACTCTGCACAATACGTTTCTTCTGTCAACAGGAGAATGGGTCCGCCTGCCGTGTCGCCGTCGTTTTTCTTGAAAGTGATAGGGAAAGGCTGCAGCATTCCCTCGTTGAAAG